CATGGTTTAGAATAGATAAAGTGGGTTTTGTTATGTGCCAGCCCTTTTACTATAAAAAAAGGCAGGGTTTCCAGCAGCCATAAGGTCTCTCAAAGTAGATGTAAGCCCTTTAATGGATATCCTTTAGGTAGCAAAATGCTGTATGTCTTGGGGAATTTGGAGATTGAGAGAGGGGAAGGATTTTTAAATAGTCAGCAGGCATAATCTTAGATGGCAGTTCAGACATCCCAACCTGCAAAACCTTATTTCAGGGAGGTTCCCGTCTCATTTCAGGGAGGTGCCCTTTCGGTTTTTCAGGTTTTTTTATATTATTATTATTATTATTAATTAATGGTATAGCACCCATATCTCCAGTGGTGCTGTGCTAAATATTATTAACAATAATGATCAATACAGACAAAATAAATACATTTATACATTTATGAAATAAAAGGTGTATACAATGGCAACTATAAACTATTCATTGCACTATGAACAAGAGGTCTGAGCCATATACAGGGCAGCTCAGTGACAGGCAAGCAAGTTAGCTGCTACCACTAGGTCTCTAGTCAGCCTGTGTTTCTCCCACTGTGTCACCCACCTTGCTGAAACTCTGGTTCTCCATCTCTACATCCACTTCTCTGCCATTACATCCAGTCCACACCTGGCACTACAGCAACTGATGCAGCCGGTTACAGGTCAATGACAACTTAGCTCAGAGGCCACAACAATGCAAAAGCCAATCACAGATAGCTATTTTCTACTACCTTGCCCTCTAACAGGGAGATGTGTCCCTCACAAACCAGTCATAGGAAAGTATTGTTAGGTTTGGCTGCAGTTGTGGCACAGAGATCAGAATGCCATGGGGCTGCTGCCCGTGAACCACATGTTTGACATGTACGCTCTAAAAATCACATTTCTTTTACCCTTTTAGAGTTGTCTGTTGTAGTCTTTGAGAATGAATTACCTCTAGAGAGGTTAAGGTTTTCCTGTTTTAAAGCTTTTTACTGCTAATTCAAAATATGTAATACTTTAATGTCCATGGTCGGGAACGGGTGCACTTAAATATTATAAATTATATACTTTACTGGATTTGTATTATCTTCACATGCACACAGATATTTAACATGTATTGGCCTCAACAACCTCCCTGTTGAGGTCTCCTCCCCCCTCCAAGCCCCCATAGCAGCCATTACACCACTGTTAAGCAATATTTCTTCACAATACATGCAGCTAGCGAGGCCAGTGAGGGCTTGTTTTAAAGCACTTTTACTGCTTGTTAACCATATGTAAAATTGTAATGTCCATAGTCTGGGAACAGGCGCACTTTTAAAGCTAATTTACAAGCAGAACAAACAAACTAAAAAACGCTCCTTATCCATCCCCTGTTTTTATTACAAATAAAAACCCCAATACTTTCCTAAAAATCCATGACACACAAATTTTAGGTCTTTCTTGTTCTCTGTAGTGTGGAAGAGTCTGGTCTCCACGCCCCTTCCTGGTAATGTTTACACTGCAGATTGGCTCTCAGAAGGGCATAGTATGGTCCTGCAACATTCACCAGTGATGTCATGCAAGGGGTGGATAAAGACTGATTGGCTGGACCAATAAAGAGGAAGCAGAGCAGCTTAAGAACATCAATAGCGGCTACCAGAAGAGGATTACATGACAGAGGATTTATGTAAATTTTTATGTTTGATTGCCTGGAGGTTGCCTGGAGTTAGGTTTTAAATGCTTGCATTTTTTTTCCAAAAAAAACAGGGTTGCAGCTATGAACAGACAAATTTCCAAGATATTTAAAAAAAAGAATTTGATAGCAAATATTAGTACTTTAATAACCTAAGACGTGATGACAGCATACTGTAGCACCATCCTAGCAGGATATAGCAATATTTCTTTCTATATCCCCTTAATTAAATAGAACCTATGCTATAGCTCTTCCACCTAATTACCACATCTTCGAGAAGTTCGTTTTTAGTGATACCATAAAGATGTGATGGTTTGTATGATTCATTCATTTAGTGCTATTCCTGAAATTCTTAGAAATATATGTGGTTGAAGATTCTTGTGGAAGTCACTGAGGTTATAAGCAGAGTATGTTTTGATCACTCACGAATGATAAGCAAACAAGAATTATATTTCCAGATCAACAGCCTGCATTTTGTAGTTGCCATGGAGAGCTGGAAAAGCAGATAGCACCAACCCTAATGTATGAGCATTGGCTCTAATATGAGGCATCCATTAATGTGGGAACACAGTGGGATTCATGTACTAAAAGAATAGAGAATTGTCACTTTCCACAGGAAATGTTCATGTAGCTTAGTGGAGACGAAGCTGTATTCATTTCAATTGTCTGGTCATGTGCAAAAATCCCTGTTTTTCACATTTCCCTTGCACATACTTTAATTTAACCTAGTTTTAATATTTTCTACTTCTCCTCTAGTAAATCAAACCCACTAAACTATATTCTACACAATGTACCCTAACTATTAAAAAAATAAAGCTTATTTCTGTATCACTTGGCTGTAGATTCTGAAATCATGGCTGAATTGATGGTGACACTGTTCTTCCTTCTGGAGGTTGGACACTTTTGTTCACCATGGTCCCTGTGTGTGTTATAAAGTAGCCACCACTCCAAGCTCGCTAGAATACAGTTGCAATACAAATTAGTAAACTAAACCTGATATTGTAGTCCATCGCGGGAGTGAGCTTGGAGCGATGAATCCTTTACAACACACACAGGGGCCATAAGGAACAAAATAAGCCACCCTCCAGAAGGAAGGACAGTGTCAGCAGTAATTCAGAGACGATTTGAGGATGCATAGCCAAGTGATACACAAATAAACAACATTTTGTTAATAGTTAAGCTACTTGAATGCATTTTAAGATTTAACTTGTTTAGAGTTTACTAAAGTTCAGTGTCACTTTAATATGAAGTAGTAGAGTTAGGACTTTTTTATGTTATTACATAAAGAGTTTACAATTAGGAGTCGTCTTTGTGAAAGCACAGTTAACAAATGTTTAACCCACATGCTAATAGTATGCCTACAGCCAATTTTTTTTTTCATTTTGGGTTGAGTAGGGGAGGGTAAAACCTCTGTCATTTTTTGTTTGTTCTTTTTTTGCTGTTTGTGTCTCACTAGGGAAATTTCCCATTTACTTTCTGTACTGTAGACTCAGGAAGTGAGAGAATATCTTTCCAATGTGAGGGAAATTTCCTCTTTGACAGTTGTCACAGGAAAAATTATCCCCATTGCAAGATTTTGCCTCTACTACTGTTCTGGTGACAACCTTAAAATTTGGATTTACTCTCACTTTCATTCCCTGTGACATTGATAATGAGGACAATAGGAGAGAATGAATCTGACAGTTCTTATATCCGCTCACCACTCAATCCAAATCTAAAAAAAGGCCACAAAAATAGACAAAATGTGTGAAATCAGGCCATGTTGAACCAAAAGCCCTCATAAGTAAGAGATCAAAATCTAATCTCATGAGATCTTTTCTTTCTGATGTTGTTATCAAGCACCTCATCAGTGATTCTTTCTGGGTGTTAAACCTCCATGATAGTGTCATACAGGATGTAATCATGTCATGACTCCTGAGCAATATGTGCAGGTCTCATTAGAGTTCCATTGTGTGCTCTTCATTCTGTAGTGGCTGGAGTACCAGTTATGAGAGCAGCTCTAATACCTCTATAATGGACTGAATTAAACCTGTAATCATTCAGCACTGAACCCCTCTACAGCACTGCAACTGGTCTGCTAACTTTACAAGTTAATTACATTTTTTCTTGAGAAACTTAAATCAGATTTGAAAAACTTGTGGCATTCCAAGTGCTGGATATCGAGTGCTGGATATCGAGACACTTAGAGAAGAACTCCAAGTATCTTTTATATTAACCCTTGCAGTGGGGCTACCCCGCACTGCAGGGTTTAACTGCACAAAAAACATAGTTATACTCACCCAAAGCTCAGAGCCAGCTTCTTCTTGGATAGGTCCTTCCAATGTCTCTCCCCCCACCTCTGCAGCTGTCCCGTAAATCATCACATCTATACACAGTATATAGACATGAGGATGCTGAGAAATATTACAATGCTTCAGGGAGGAGGAGATACGCTGAAGGGAGCGCCATGACAGCTGGCCAGCTGGGAGCTTCGGGTGAGTATAACTTTGTTATTTTAACACCTAGACACAAACAAGCACTTAACCCTTGCAGTGCAGGGGTAGTCCCACCGCAAGGGTTAATAAAAACCATTTCCTGGAGTTCTTTGTTCTTTAAAAAATGTCAGCAAGGTCTGGAATAATTGTATAAAAGATTGGGATAATCATAACTCTAGGTAACTGTACTAGTGGATGGCACAATGGCATAGAAGCAATGAAAACAACCAGCCGAGAGAAACATTAAAGTACATAAAAGAATCAAGCACTTACGTGACACAACTGGACGAGGACGCATGGAATGGGCGGGGCTTAGTAACAAAGGTAAGCCGCTGATTGGCCGGAGAAAGACAGGCGATGGGATGAAGAGCTAAAGGCAGAATTGGCCCTGAGAGAAGAAGTACAGTATGGACAGACAGACAGTACAAATAATACAAGGAGGGGGGTGGAACACATAGTGGATACCCTTAGCTCCAGGTCTGGACAAGCTAGGTTACTAAACACAGCTTGAAGGATGTTCATGTGGTTACTAAGTTAACACAGAACTTAAATTTTTAAGGATTGGCTGGTCTTATATAATATGGGAGAGACATGTACACAAATATGATGACATAGAGCTGAGGGAAGTTCCAAACACAGATAACATGGTCCCCTATTCCACCCCCTCTTATTGACAACAAAAACAACTTTAAGGTAAGTAATATATGGGTAGAGTAGACAAGAGCAGCATATGACTTTCCAGATGTGGCTCTCAGCATGCTCTACAGCTGCAAACTAGAAGAGCAAGAGGATATGCAACCGAAAAAAACAACTTGAGAGGCATAGGCTGCCTATCCCTACCGTAGAAAAAGGACACTTACTAGGTACTCTGTTGATGGCCTTCAGTGGTCTGAGCACACGCACAGTTCGGATTGCAGAAAGGTTTATATTCTGTAGATCCAGGGAGTACTCCACCATCCTGCATGTAAAGGGATAATGGAAATTACATTCATTATAATACACAAGTTGTCATGATTGTAAGGCAGAAATAAAGGGAATATTCGGCTGGCTACTTCAGTTCAGCATTACGTTTGACCTTGAATTATATGTCTAGATACCATAAACATAAGATAACAAATATCTAATCCATCCAAACTGACCAAAAATCAATAGACAGTTATGGAGGAATAATGGAAGGCTAATGGAATATTTAGTTTTGACAGAGGGATTGTTTCTGCAAAAGAGGAACAGTTTTGAGTTATAAAAACATGTACTGCTAAGCAATGATTGCTAGATGAGTGTCACTTAACCTAAAAGATTTTATCCGCATCAAGAAACCATCCACAGTTCTAAATGCACGTTCAGGTCATAACAGACACTGTCTAGGAAAATGCATGCATACACTAGGAAGTTAAAAGGATATTTAAACTGAAATGTTTGTATAGAACAGAAAGCCACAGCCACACACGTGACAAGAAAAATTGGAAATGGCTTAAAGGCTTTCTGGTATATTAAATGCTGAACAGATACAATATAAATCTATTATTATATAGTTACATACCGTAGTGACGTTGAAGTTCAACAAATAGAATAAATGAATAAATAACTAAAAATTGTAAACCTGCATATACAGAACCCTATACCCACAGTTGATCCAGATGAAGCAAAATACCCCTTAAGGTCCCCACACACCTTACGATAATCGTACGATAAGCCGTGCGACCTCTACTACTGTAAGGTTACACGACTTTTAACTTACGGACATGTAAAAAAAAAACCCGCCGAGCATCGTACGATGTTCGGCGGGTTTGTGGCATGTCCGTACGATAAAAGCCGTAGGGGCCGGTGTGCGCAAGCCCACACTGCCCGTTCGGCATTGCGGTCATCGGAAGCCCGCCCCTCAGGGGGCATGGCTTGCGATCATCGCAAGTACGATCTGCCTATGCAACATAGGCAGATAGTACGTTTTTTTAAGTACCTTAAACCATCGCAAGACAAAAGTCTTGCGATGGTTGTAAGGTGTGTGCCCAGCCTTATAAAGCATGGTTCAATCTGCTACAACAGGTGGAAAAAACTCCTTTTATATCCGCTAAGGCAATCGGATACGCCCTGGGTCAACAATCTATGGTAAAATTATTTATAAATGTTAATAGCCAGTTATATTCTGTACATTCAGGAATCCATCCAGATTTTTTTTAAACAATCAACTGGGCTAGCTAGGAAGTGTATTTTACATTTGCACAGCTCTTACTGTGAAGAAGCCTATCTGTATGCAGAGGTTAAACCTCTTTTCCTCCAGATGCAGAGTGCTTCCTTGTCTTTTGCAATGACCCTATAGTGACACTAAACTCAGGAGTTAAATCTTAAAAATACATTCAAGTACCTTAACTATTAACAAAAATGTAGCTTATTTGTCCATCACTCAGCTGTAGATCCTCAAATCATCACTGACTTTGTGCTGATATTGTCCTTTATTATGAAGCACTCTGTAAGCACAAATTTAGAGATGATTTAAGGATCTATAGATGAGGGATGCACAAATAAGCTACATTGTTGTTAATAGTTAAGGTACTTGAATGTATTTTTAGGATTTAACTCCTGAGTTTAGTGTCACTTTAAAGGGGATAACTTTGCACCACATTCACTTTATGGAAAATGTATGTTTTTATGCAAGGTTGATCATATCCCGCCTCTTCCCAGGGGAGAATACATTTAGTTCAGTTAATCTTTCTTAATAGGTCATCCATGCCTCTTACCAGTTTAGTTGCCCTTCTCTGCATTCCCTCCAGTTCCTCAACATGTTTTTTTGTGAACTGTTGCCCAATAGGGACGAGGATCAGGTTTAGACTGAAGTAGGACTAGGTCTAAACTTACTGTTTGGAATTCTGCGAATGTGCAAATTAAATATAGTGCTTACCCACCCACTGAGCCAAACCTCAGCTGAAGTGGGAAGTAACACTACTTCAAAATGTGACATCATCAAGGCTCCTGGTTGCTAGGAAGCAGGCAGCTGAATGTAAATAAAAGGGCAGGGATGCTGGTTGGCATAATTGATTAATATAGTATGAATCATATTTGTTCAATGACATTAGTTGGCATCCCTGCCACTTCCCAGTCCCAGTGAATGTGTCAGTGGATTGTCATTTTTGTTTCAGTGGTTTGTCCAGGTTGGCATTCATTGTAATTGATGATGGTGCTACATCACTGGTTGACATAATTAACAATGGATTTGCACCGTTCAATATTTTTCAAAATAAAGGTCAAAGTGTGTGTGTGTGTTTACTTGCATTTTCATTTTTTTGTGTGAATGATTAAGGGGTTTTATGTGCTCCTCACTTATTCATATAGGGAAGGGGGTGGATATATGGGTGCCCCCTTATTTTGTAGTGGACTTCCAGATTGTGATGAATCCCATGCAAACCCCCACATCCCCCTTAAACCAGATGTGGGAAAGAGGCCCTTGTCCTCATCAACATGTGGACAAGGGGCTTTGCTAGGGTGCCTGATATGCATATTTAGGAGGAATCCCGTGTTTTTATATTTTGGCACAGGGTCCCCCAATAATATTCATCCCAGACCTTAACCAAGGATAAAGGTCTTGTCTTGATTTTAGGGGACCCCACTTTTTTGTCTATGACATTTTGTAAAAGAATTTCTGAAAAATGAAATTTTGCTGCTTTTTTTTTTTTTTTTTCTTTTCAAAAGAAACTCTACAGTGTATAGCAGACCCTGCTGACATACATGCCATGCCATTTATTTTTAAAATTCAGCTCCCAGTGACTTCAATGGGGTGTCAGATTAATGTTTAACCTTTTCAATGAGTGCTTCTTACTTCCGGGACCTGGTGCCCCATCTCAGAAGTGCTTCTCATTGGTCAGCGTGGCCATGTGACCAATAAGTGCTCACCATTTGCGAGCTTCATGCTGGACCCTCAGTGCAGGGCTCAGTGCAGTGTATAGTGTATGGAGTTTACACCAGCTGGTGGGGGAAAACCTGGTGCTTGAATGGAAAAAGATATGACCAAGGCGGGGAGAGGTGACAAAGTGGTGTGGGTAAGTTAATTTTCTCACATTTTTGAGAAAGTCAAACACTTTATATCCACAGACATTTGTTTGTCTAGGTTTCTGCTTACTTCCTAATACAAAATTATATTAAAGGGACAATGTCGCTCCGATCAGGAGGGAATTCGTCACTCTTTCTGACATGTGTCGGTTCAGCTTTTTTCTAACATATTGTAATGAAGGAAAAACTGAGCTGTACGGACCCAAGTTAGGTCTACAGGGAGCCAGATGTAAGTGGACATGCGTCTGTTTACATTAATTTATCCCCGATCCGTCGCGATCACGTCCACCAAAATGGAACTCTGTTCTGTTACCTTTTCTGGACCTGGACGGGGTTGGAGGTAATTGGATGTAAACAGTTGCACGTCTGTTTTCATCGAGATACCCATAGAGTAAGATTGGGTTTCTGAACAGATCCACCAGGTGGATATGATTAGACAGCTCATGTGAAAGGGGCCTTTGGCTTATTCAGAATAATACAAAGGTGATAAACAACATACACGCAGCATTCTAAGCAACATCAGCAAACACCAGAGCAAAACACCTACCTACTTAACTATATACAAACAGAGGATAAGAGAACATCTGGATCTTGACAGCTCTACACGACCACACATAAACCCATATCCAAAAATGTGTCAGTATAAAGACTGGGTAAATGTTATGCTTTTATACCAAAAAAAAGTCTATTTACTATATAGTTTGTGCCCAGGCATTTCCTACAATCATTCTAAATGAGCTTAAAATGCAGCTCCCATAACAACTGAGCTGTCCATAGTGACCTTACATCAAGACAAGATACTGGCTACTTAATGTCACCATCAGATTGCACTTGGAAAGTATAGTGTGCCCGTGATGAAGCCTTTATGATGTAACGTGTAGGACGTAGTCAAGTGACGCAGTTTAGGGAGGTGAGGTTCAGATGCACACAGGGGTGCTGTTAATGGCAGTGTCTCCCTGGGACCTCCTTGGTACTGAGCAGAATAGCAAATAGAGAAAAGGTCGAAAAAAAGAAGTTGAAAAAATAATTTTAAAAGGTAAATAAATTGAAAAATTAAAAAATAAAGATTTTTTTAAAATGGAAAAAAAAACTATTGGGCAGAGCTAGCATTGACAGCTAGCTCTGCCCAACTGTTTCCTATTGGCCGGGACCTGCTGGAAGCCTTCTAGCAGGTCCCGGCCAATAAACAACTGGGTGGAGATGGACGTGACGTCACGGCCGGCTCTGCCCAGTTGATATTGTTTAATGACAGTTCAGTGTCCCCAGGTCATTTGGGGACACTGATCTGTCATTAAAACTGGGCGGAGCCAGCTGTGATGACACGGCTTGCTCCGTTCAGCTGTCATGTGCGGGGCGAAAGGCTGCTGGCCGTTAGCCCTGCTTTGGGTGTCACTTCGGCTCAGTCGAGCCGAAGCATATGCCTTAGGCTCGGCTGAGCCGATCAGCCACCTTCGGCTTCTGTACGGGCTATAGGGGGTTATTCACAAAGGAGCCAAAGGATCCAGCTATAGCTGTGTATAGAGTCGAACGGAAGCGAGTGAGTGAGCTGCCGGAGATTTGGCCGATCCAGATGTTGCATCGGCTGAGTCGAAGTCCTTCTGCACTTCGGCTCAGCTGAACATGCATGTTCGGCTGACCGAATTGTAGCCGAAGGCATGTACAGCTAATTTTAGCCGATGTAAGGCTGATTTCAGCTATACAAGGCTGAAGTGAATAGCCGAACATCGTTCGGCTCACTTCACTTCTGCTCAGTTATTCCTTCGGCAGCTAAGTGAATAACCCCCTTACATTTGGCTACCACTGTGGTTGAATTGCAATATGATTTTACGTTTTGCCAGATGTATGTAGAGTTTGGTATGGGTTTACACATACCCAGGGGCATAGCTACAGATCATGGGGCCCCATTGCAAAATAGTG